AATTGTCTATTTGCTACTCTTGCCTAATTCTCCGTGCCGTTAAGATCGTACAGAATTATGGCCGAAAAAGAAAGCCAAGGTAATGCCTTATTTAACTTTATTTAACTTTATTTTATAAGGAATGGGATGGAAAAAAAAACACAACGAGATACAATGGAATGTGGTGTATCTTGCAAGACTCGTCCATGTGATGCCATCCATAATATCATCTCATGTCATCATCATCTTTGCTCGTAGAGGAATATAGCTAAATTGGCCAGCACCATTATTTTATTCCTATTCCTCATTCGTTTGAATTTATTAAATGGGATATGTATGTATTGGATGATCGATCTATACCTTTCTTCTTGATGATAGAATTACCTCCGATTTATACTTCTGAAAAGGAAGGAAGTGATGAAAATGGCGATGGCAGCCAAGCCAAACCATTTCAGACATTATTGCAAGTAGGTTTCATTAGCGATAACAAATAGGATCATCAACATAGAGTCTACTCTTGTACACAGACATTTTAATCCAGATTGTACAATGTATCGACTTGAAATGATGGATTTATTTTTATATATGCTTATCTTAATCAATGTTAGGCCTATAGGAGTTATGGAAAAGAACCTTTTCCAGTCATTTATGTTGACAGTAAGGAAGAGGGCCAGGTAAGCGCAACATGTATCTTTCTTAATAACCATCAACAAGTTACATTATCAATCAAGATGGTCAAAATGGAGTCATAGCAACATTGGACTATAATATCAAATAGTACGATATTGAATTCTTGAATTGGTTATGATGGTTTATCATCATAATAGCGGTGGGCATCGGTTTCCTTGAGTCAATCGAAAAAAGTCTTAAAAATCTGGTATCGAGAGTGTCGAAAAAGCCAGGAAATCGAAAAACGTGAGGTAATATATCAGCGAAAATATTGATATCAAAAATCATCTACAGATCTTATCTAGTCAGAAGTCAATTGCACTTTCTTTCGTAGTCCTATAGAATGATTGGGATACAAACATTGCATGCCAACGTTACTCGTTTCTCCGTAAAACTACTCTTCTTCAAGTAGTCAATTATAGTATACGAGTATTATAGTAATAATCACGTATTTACCAACAACATAGCATGGCTTACGCTATACTATCAAGAATATTTTTACGACTACTTTCCATATCAAACAGCAATTTCGTTATAAATCTATCTTTCTATTGTCTACTCATAGGCAGAAGACGCTGCTCGACGTGAAAAAAATTTAGAAGAAGCCAAGAAAATTGTAATTGAAGCTGATGAATCTTTGCCTAAACCCATTCAGGTTGACCCTAATAATATCATATTGATAGACCTTCTCTATAAGATTTCAACTTTACTTGCATGCCAATAAATGAACTGTAAATATTTCCACTTTATGATAAATCTAAACGTCGTGTATTTGTCAAAAAATGAATAGCTCAATAAACTCTTTTACTTACTCAACTATGAATAGATCAAATTACGCGACGCAACTAGCCATAGGCAAAAGAGAGTTAAAATTTATGGCTGGGTCCATAGGCTTAGAAGACAAGGTATTGAAATACATATCTACTTTTATCAATGAAAACACCCAACAATTCATATCATACGCTCTATAATGTTGTTCAAGAAAATTGTAGTATTGACATTACATATATTTATTGATGTAGATTATGTACGAAGAGCTATAACTAATGCTATTGCATTTTATTCTATTTGATGATAGGAAAGAACTTAATATTTGTCTTATTAAGAGATGGAACAGGTTACATTCAATGCGTTTTTAATGACAAACTGGTAAGATACTGGTTATCCTAGAACTAAATTTTTCTTTCAAACATAATACGAGTATTTATGCTTTTGTACTCATAGTTTCAAATCTTAATGTAATTATTTGGCAATAATATGAAAATGAAATGAACATTAATCAACTTTGAATGATAATCTAAATTATAGTGCCATACTTATGATGCGCTTACCCTAACTACCGAGTACTCAATTGCTGTTTATGGTATAATTGAACCACTACCAGAGGGCAAGACGGTATGTAGTACGTCATTTGTTTTCAATCCTTTAAAAGTCATCTACGTAACGTGCAGTTATGATTTATACTTAATGTACTAATGTTGCTACGTTTAATGGGAAATCTACCAATAGGCACCTGGAGGTCATGAGCTAATTGTCGATTTCTGGGAGGTTGTTGGTTCTGCGCCACCTGGTGGACATGACAGTCTAGTTAACGAAGTAATTCAATTCTGTTAATAGAAAATTACAGTAGAAGCTGCCGAGACTACATTCCTACTAAATTGTCCTATTCTATTAGTATCGTATTAGATCAATTGGATTCAAATTTATCCTTTGCAGTGTATTTATTTTTATAATTATATGAATAGGATTCTAATGTCGATGTCCAGCTAGATTACCGACATATGATGCTAAGAGGTGATACGGTTAGTACATTTTCAAAAGTGTTTGATACTAATAGCTTACGCATGAATTGTATTTGGCAGCTCTCTATATTTCATTTTTATTATTTGCTATTATTATGCTTGTGTAGCTATCCAAAATAATGAAGATTAGATCTATAACTGAAAAAGCGTAAGAAAATATCAATATTTTATTGCAATTTTGAATTTTAAATATTTTTTTTAATTATTATAATAATAACTGAAATGCTCTATTTCGTAGCTTCAATGACCACTTTTATGACCGAGGGTATTTTAAGGTGCATTAATATCATACGTATATCTAGGAGGTACATTATCACCATTCTAAATTTTCTATTTATATCGCTAAATTGCGATATTGTTCATTGCAGCTTACACCACCAACATTGGTTCAAACGCAAGTCGAAGGGGGTGCAACTCTATTTAAATTAGACTATTTCGGTGAACAAGTGGGTATCGTTTCAGAATTTAATGAATATGGATTAAACATAGTTAAATTAATTTGGGGTAACTATTATTGGTGAAGTAAACCTTAACTTCCATTCATATAGGCCTTCCTAACACAATCATCTCAATTATATTTGGAAACCGTCCTACCATCAATGGGCGATGTTTATTGTATTGCCCAGTCGTATAGAGCAGAGCAATCTCGTACAAGAAGACATCTAGCTGAGTTAGTAGTGTGTCACAATCTGCGTAACTTGACCTGTGCCATAATTAACGTGGAACTATTGCATATATCCATTTGCAGATATACTCATATTGAAGCTGAATGCCCATTTGTAACGTTCGAAGACATGTTGGACAAGATCGAAGATTTGGTAAGGGATACGTACAATTAGTTGAATATTTTACTTGGATAAGCAGTGTTCATTTTTATTGCTAATATACTAATTTGCAGGTCGTTGATGTTGCTGAGAGAATCATGCAGTCACCACTTCGTGAAATGTTGTTGGAAATGAACCCTGTAAATAAAATATTAAGGCGATTATAAAGTATTTGTCTCAATACTAATATATTTATCGCTTCTTTATTACTGTATCTACAAGGACTTCAAAGTTCCTCAAAAACCTTTCAGGTAAAGTTCTGATTTAAAGTAATTTCGTTAGTAGTTGATAGTCATAAAAAACTTTCTACTTAGGCGGATGGATTACGGTGAGGCGATTGTTTATTTAAAAGAACATAACATCACGAAAGACGATGGAACTTTCTATGAATATGGAGAAGTAAGATAGATTTAAAAAATATAGTATTGGCATTGAATGTTAAAAGGCTTTTAAATAAATTGAATACTGATTTCATTTAAGGATATTCCCGAAGCTCCAGAACGAAAAATGACTGATCAAATCAATGAGGTTTGCAATCTTGTGATGGACAAATTTAGCAACTGAGAAACATTCTTAATGTAAAAAATTTGGGAATTTAGCCAATTATGCTTTGCCGATTTCCTGCGGAGATAAAATCCTTCTACATGCCACGATGTCCTGAAAATAGACGTGTTACGCAATCCGTATGTTCTTACTCTGATACCGTTGTATTGGACTATAATAACCAAATTTTTAATAGATATTGATTGTTAATGGTCTTAATTGTATGAAGGTGGACTTACTAATGCCAAATGTCGGTGAAATTGTTGGTGGATCTATGAGAACTCACGTCTTGGTATGGTTAGCGTATAAGCCACAGGCGATTTTGCATAGTGTCTGTCTGACTTTTATTGTATTATCGTTACGATGTTTAGGAGGATTTAATGGAAGGGTATAAACGATCGGGAATTGATCCAACACCATATTACTGGTATCTTGACCAAGTAAGTCTAAAGGAGACTATCTATTTGCTAATATAGTTGATGCTTTACAATTGCCTCTTGTTTGTTTATCATACTGATTTTTATCATTTTAGCGAAAATACGGTACCTGTCCCCACGGTGGCTACGGCTTGGGAATGGAACGTTATTTAACTTGGCTTTTGAACAGGCCACACATTAGAGATGTTACGTTTTACCCTCGCTTTATTGAGCGCTGCAAGCCATAATCATTGATTTTAGCTTATGATACTGGCAATGGTCTTTTTGCCGATTTTAGCATTTTCGTAAAAGCGTGTAGTTATAAAATATAGACTTTAGGTTATATGAATAATAGCATTTCTTTGCTTTTGGTATTACGTTAATCCACTAATTATAAGTGTTGACTATTATCAGGTTATTTTCAGAGACCCCTGACGCTAAAGTGTTATAAGTGATTCCGTTTCCTTTATAGCGATCTGATTACTTTTAATGCAGCCGTAAATAAATCTGTAGCGACACCTGTTGCTAGTTTTCTACTTGCGTAATCTTCAAAACATTACTTAATTGTGTTATTATAGGTATTTACGAGTATTCACACAAATAATATGTGTATACATATATATATATATATGCATGTCCATTATGTTATTACTAATCCTTATAATTAATTAATTAAATAAATAAAAATAAACTATTTTTAACTTTATTAAGTTGATATTAATGATATTTCATCTTATACATGTGTACTAGTAGACATTTTGTACAACTTTTTCTCAAAATATTTGACACTCTTTTGTATTTATCCTTTTGGAACAACTTTATTATTTATGCAATAGTATGAAAATTCTTATGATAAGAGTAGGTTGAGTAATGGAATAGATGTTGCCATTGAATGTGAAATTAGCAGTGCTAAATATCGTCGTTACACTTACGGTATTGTTTTTCGATATATGCGCTCGTATGGTCATATACCGTTGACTTAGTAGTAGTATAATGTGAAGCAGGATTTATGTATCCGAAATGTTTGGACCTCTTCCAATATTTCTACATTTAACAATTTTTCAAGAATATCCTTACAAATATTACGTTAGAAACGAAGCACCGATTTTCAGATATAGCTTTGCTCATTAAATTAAAAATCGTCAACTGATATACCGTACACAGATTTGTATAAACTGTGAAATAATTAGCAAGTATGAAAGCGTCAGGATATCCAAATTGCTTTAGTTGATGTCGAGTTAAAACAAAACATGTAAGCTTGAAGGAAAGAAGATAGATATTGTACGGTATAAATAATGTTACATGGATGATCCATTATACAAACAACACGCATTTCTAAATGTTACACTATCTTATTTGTTAATTGAAATGCCGAAGCCATTTTAATCACTTCTAATTACGAATAGCAGTAATGTTTTCAGCTGATTACTTTAGCGATATACTTAAAAAGTATATTAATAATAACAATAATAATGTACTGTAAAGTAGTATCGGAATATGATGTAGAGTAACCAGTTATACTCAATAAAGTAATTGTAGGTTATAAGTTAAACTCATTCATTACGTGGATAATACACATGATAGACTAATTGATGATTTCAAATAGCAAATGAATAATGTTGTCTATAAAATAATTGTTTAAACGACTACTAAGGCAATAAAGCAATTTTGTTAAAGCCAGTCGTCCGCGACAATAACTAATATTAAATTCCTGGAATATTATTTCTGTACCAATCTTTTAATATTCAATTCGCTATACATTGCTACTACTTCTGCTTAAATCAATGCCTATCGGATGGATAGCGCCTCCATAAAACTATCCACTATGCTATTGAAATTATGAGATGATTTCTTCATAATTGATTGATTGAAAAATGCGGCTTTTATCAGATTTAAGAGAAATTACGCCATATCGAAATAATAATCTGGTCATGCATTATATAGGGAAATCTCTAGGGGAAATTACGCCATTTCGAAATAATAGTCTGGTCATTCATTATATAGTGAAATCTCTAGGGTATATTAAATGTTTTACAGGATTCTTATTCATGAATTATTGATAAGACATACACATGGGTAGAATGATGTTGAAATTGTTATTGACGCAATCCATCATTCCATTTATTCATCGGTTTTGTTATATCCATATTCAATAGAATAGGTTGTGTTGGCGCCTATGACATATACTTTGATATTCCCCACTCATGATGGGGCTAGTTTACATGATGATCTTCATAACTTGTAGATATTCATTTGATCAATTTTCATTTCGGTTTATTCCTTAACTTCATTACGGAAAAGTTTATGCAGTTGCTACATGATTTTATAGCAAGTATGATATAGATGGAAATTTTATATATTTCTTTCCATTTCTTAACCAATGACTGATGATTGTCTTCTATTATTATTCCTAGCCTTTATTATTATTATATTATTTCATTAGATTCCTTCATTGTAATACCACTGTTCGTAAAATTGCTATTTTATTTAATAGACTATTTCTTTAATTTATTTCTTTACTTTAACAATGTTCTGATGTATTTACTTTGTTATTTTATCTTATATATCAATATATACCATACCTATTTAAGCCTATTACTTTTACAAAATTTTTAGTTTGGACTATAAATTGATGATCACCTTATGGTATTTGTAGCCTAGATTATTTTAAAGCTATCTTGGACTCCACAGTTCTTAAACTACTTTTCACGAAATTGTTGATTTATTACCATAAGCTATCGTTCTATTTCATTCTTTTCTATTAACAATCATGACATACTTGTGTTTCAACTTTATCATATAATTGTCAGACAAACCCAATTATGCCAGCAGCTTTTATAAAATTTTTAAATGTTTTGTTCTCGATGTAAACCTCCTACTGTGGTGTTTCCTGTCTTTGTTCCTACTGTAATAGTTTATTGGAGTTATACTGATTCTACTATAGATTGATACTGTTATTCTATTTTATCCTTTGTCTTTATTACTTCAATATTTTATTGACTTTATATCATGCTGTTGTACTTAAGACTATATGGTGTAGTAAAATAAATCAAAAAGATTATCTTTACTACGCTCTATCTCATTTCTTGCCTTAACTAGAACTACACGTTCAATCGAACGCTAACTAGATTGATGATTCACTTAAATATATTTGTCCTACTTTTATATTAATGAATGTGCTACTATACAAATAAATTACTTTAACCTCGTTATTTTAATGGAACGCATCAGTTTCTGAGACTAAGACTTTTTTGGAAAGTTGACACCATAAAAATAGATATCCTCACTATTTGCATCAATGTCAAAGTCCGATCCAAAATTAAGATAGATCCTAAATAAAAGTGGAGAAAAATTATAAAAGTTTTTAATCAAAAGCTTCTGCTGGGAAGGAATTTTAATCAATCAACGATTTGATTTTCTTAAGGTACAGTCAATTGCTCAAAGGATATCGTACTTATATTAATTAAAAACTTATGTTATATATGTAGTAGTAGAAGATATATAATTTCTTAGTAAAGAACTTTATGGTTTACGTCGATATCTTTCTTTACAGACATTAAAGCGTATAGATTAAAATGTGATACTATAATATACAAGCTGAGCTGAGTAACAGAATACTATACAGCTAATTCCGATATATTACTGCTTGATTTTTATATTATACAAACTGAATTTGGTAAGGAAATAGAGCTAATTTGATAACTGACTAAATGAGCTTGACTACTAAATTACAATATGATAATATATAGGCTGCATTAAATGTAACAGTTAGCGATTTATGTTCTAGTATGATAAGAACTAATTTACGTCGCTAAAAGATATTTTAATTCGCATCAATCGGACATTCATAATCAGAATGATTGACTTTTAAGTTTAAATTCGATAGAAATTCTATGGAAATATTGAATCTGAGAAGTACTCCTACGGTACGAAAGTAGCATTCACGTATATTCAATAGCAAAATATCGCAATTGGTTCAATCTATTTTACTTAATCTATCTTGGATTATAGTATTTATTTTATACAATTATCTTCAGGAAGATTTATGAATTAAAACTTAGCTTATTACTCCAATTATGATCTTCCATAGTGAAGTAACAAATTCATAATGACTAAGATGTGGTATAGCATAAATTAAATATCTATAAAGCATTAGCACTATACTTAATGGGGCATACGAGCCATGATTCATCCCGCCTATTGAAACGATTGACTTTTTCCGCTATTCTTTACTATTCTTCTCGATACTCTTTGGGAAATATTCTACTGATTGTAAGCTATTTTTAATTTTTAACTCTCGATAATTACTTTTAAATTAGTTACTTCGTTGGTTTGAAAAAGAACTTAATGCGGTATTGTGATGACTCCTTTACTGACTCTATTAACATCGACCTTATTTCTGGTGGCCTTATTGCCTCAAGTATCCTTATTGAAAGTAGCAATAATACCGTTCATTGGTGGTAGCCATACACATACTATGGATACTATTACCCATCAATTAATCAAAAGAGGACATCAGGTAAAGACACTAATGATTATTACTAAATTGTAGTTAAATAGTTGAAATGATCATCAACTGCAATTGAAGAATTAAAATAATTCAACAAGTTTGCTGAATTGACAACAAAATTCTTAAGAAATCTATATGTAGTATAGATGTAAAGCTATTTTAAATAGAAAAACGTTATGACATATCCATTTAAGGTAGTTCATCTTATTATCTAATATATTTCGTAAAAAGCGTCCAACTATTCTATCTAATCTAAAAGCAATCCAGCTCTCACAGAATAATAGTCAAAATTTTGAAAGATTTTTAAAATGGTAAGGGTTGAGTAATTAACTATTAACAAGAATATAAAACGTCCTAAACCTGGAGGAATCATGAACTTATATTTATAGTTCTTAAATATATTTAGATCAACTTAGTTACAGTAACATGGTTGTTATAATTAAACTTGAATTTATTCGATCATACAGTGATAAGAGTTCAATAAACTGTAAGTAATTTTAAAAACTAGAATAATTCAAGATGTTTTGATTAAATAAGCGACAACAAAATTTTTCAAGTTCATACGGTATTGGTATAAGATTTTCTCTACATGTAATAAAGCTACAACATATTGATTCAGGATAGTCCATGCTATTATGGTGTCTATCGCAAAATTTGCTACAGTGCAAATGTTATTTCATTACCTGTGGAGTAAAAATTATCCTATCGATTTAATTTTAAATTGTCTCTACAAATGGATTAAACAAATGACTTGAGAAAAAGAAAGCGCAAGGATATGGAATGAATTAAACATATTCTTAATATTTCCTTATTTCATTCATCTTGTAAACGACTACAATATAATCCTCGTAGAGTGAGAAAGTTTTCTAAACCAAGATCTAAGGATTAGTTAGAATCGTCAATAAATAATGTAACTGAATAGATGCAATAGCTTTGCTACACCTATACTTTATATCCAATCTTAATATAACCATTGTATCGAATAGCAGGACAGTTAATCGATGATATTGTCTACCGTAACCGACTGATAGTCTATAATTCCCAAAATATTTGTATAAGTTTCTAGACTATAACTAGTTTGTTTTACTTTATAGCTACGTAGACTTTAATCGTATTTCCGACATATTATAGAATAGTTTTGTTTTAAATGAATGATAATAATCCGCATCTATGAGAATGCTTTCATTTAAAGAAAAGTATGATTTCAATTATTTTAATTTTATCCACAGAAATCATCAATTTCTTCTATTTATTTCATAGATAGTTGTGCCTTAAATGAATGATAGTCTATAATCCAAAATTATATGTCTATGTTAGTAAATAGCTCTAAGTTAACTATCAACTTTATAGTTTTAATTTTAGCGAATGTACAAAAGTCATAACTACCCGGATATTTCAACATTTCATAGATGATTTACTTTAAATGGATAATTACGATAGTCTATCATCCAAAATTATGTGCATATGTTGCTATTCGATGCTTTGCTTATTTCCAATAATTTTTAAAATTTTTACTACGTAGACTGTAACTGTGTTTCCAAATGATCCAACACAGTTGAGAAAATTAAAACCTTCTCCATGGTTACTCTACCAAGTTAATAATTTAACAAACGCGCAAGAAACACATAAAATGTTTACTAATGGAGGGACTCAAGATTTTATCAGTACTTTATATGAAGTACAAAGTCGATATTGTGATGCAACTGTTTCCAATAAAACTTTATTACGATTGTTGCATCATGTTGATATTATCATTACCGATAGCGCCTACGTTTGTGGAGTTCTTTTACCGGAAGTAGTCCTTAAACCTTATGTATTAATGTCGTTCCATGCAAGTTTTTTCGGTCCTCATTCGACACTATCTATCTATGAGCCAATTAGTTATATTCCAAGCCTAGGATATCCGATATATTACCTACCCATGACCTTTATCAAACGAGCATCGAATCTAATCTGGGGAAGTGTTTTTGGATACATGATGGATAGTGTGTCCTCTCGAGCAATCAACGCATTAAGATGGAAACATAATATTAGCACTCATTTAGCCTTATCTGAATTACGATGGAAATTCTCCATGATTTTATCCACTACTGATTTTGTTCTTGAGTATCCACGACCCTTACCACCTTATATGCAAGCAGTTGGCCCAATTTCTGTACGCTCTCCTGATCCTTTGCCAGTAACATGGGACGAATTTTTCAATGATAGTAAGTATCGAGGTGTTATTTTAGTATCGTTTGGTACTGAGCTAGAATTAATGGAAAAAGATGTACCTAAAATGCTCCAAGCTTTAAGTCAGGTACCCTACAGGATAATTTGGAGAACTTTACATAATATTACTAGAATACCCGATAATATTAAAACCGTCGATTGGATACCGCAAAATGATATCCTAGGCCATAATAGGACTGTAGCTTTTATTACCCATTGCGGCTGTCATGGTCTCTATGAAAGCGCTTATCATGCAGTTCCAATGATAGGTATGCCATCAATGGCTGAACAGAAAAGTAATGCAGCTAGAATTATCCGTGCTGGTATAGGAGTGGTAGTTGATTATTTTAATTTTCAAGCTAGCGATTTGGTGCATGCTATAGAGGAAGTGACTACTAAGAGAAAGTAAGTGATTCTTTTCCTCTTAATTTAGCTATTTGGCGATGAAATCGACTGTACTCTAGATAAGATGTATATTGTTTCTCTCTAACTAAATCGATTTTTATTAATATTAATTATTAGATATTCCACGAACATAAAAAGGGTTTCCTCGATACTGAAAAGCAAGCCTCGATCGTCTACTGATATTGTTGTAGATTGGGTCGAATATGTTATGAGAACTAACGGTGCTCATCATCTCAAAGTAGATGGTGAAAAACTCTACTTCTACGAGTATTACAATTTAGATATCTTAGTTGTGGGTATAATTAGCAGTTATTTGGTTTATCTAGCATGCATTAGAATCATGGGCAAGTTGTATAACAGTAATTTAATAGATAAATCTAAAATGGATTAAAGATCAAAGCAGATTTAAAATTTTCTTCTAATTCATTGTAATGGGGTTAATTTAAAAAATTCTCCTTCAGGTTTTATATTATAATTAAAAGATAACTTATTTGGTTTAACTACAGTAGGTTTTACTTATTATCTTATTATATTGTGAATCCAACTACTTTATTCGACATAGAATTTAACAATATGCAGTCACAAATTGTGTTAAAAATTATACAATACTAGACTGTAACTTAAGTGATGCATTCAGTTAGTATAATATTTATACTTTGATTATTATAAAAACTTATATTTAATTTTGATCATAAATGCGGCATAAGTCATGTTATGTTACTTTGATAGAATATAGAGTGAATCCAAACGTTTTGATTTGGGTTCTAATTTAAAATTGTTGGTCTGTCGTAGTGTTTTTTAATACTTACGTGCTATATATCGTAGAAAGATACAACTTGTAGTTGAATAACGATTATTATTAATTAGTAATATTCGGGAATCTAGGATATAATTCATCTTATCATATTGGTTTAATTGTTATTTTCATTTAAAGTAATTTAGAGCGACAATTTGGTAATCGCTACTGCTACCTGCTCTGTGTAGCCTATAAAACGTGGTGTAGTGTAGTAGTTTAGTAGTTCAAGTCACTATGAAGTTAGAAGACTAGGATTAAGCTGTTCCCAAATTCGTGACTAATCAAGTAGATAGTGTATAATTACTTCATTCTTAAATCATTTTTTGCCTGTATTTCATGAAAATGATATAATTTCTATTAAAAAAATATATGAAATCTATTCGTAGCATTTATAATATTAATATCATGGCAAAATTATTTAATAATTAATTTTCAACTTGATCAGAAAAGAAAACGAAAATGAGGTAGACATGCAATATCGATAATTTAGGAATATCAATTTAAAGCTTAGGGAGGGCTTGTTGAACTCTCTTCAACTATACAAATATTGTAGGGTATAAAATCAGCTTAAGACTTTGATGTCATTATATAATTTCATATTTTCTTAGTCTTTACTGTCAGAAATAAATTGATTATCGTAGGTATTACGTTCATAGCTTGTTCCTGAGTACAAAAAGTAGCAGGGCAAGGATAAATGCACTAAATTATATATCTTTTATGCTCTCAACTAGCAAAAATTGATTGATTGATCTAGTCTTACAAATTAATCTGCTATTGCGATTGAAATAGATGAGCTTCTTGTAAGGCGATTTGTTTTTATTAATTAACAGTGAAAATTTTAATTCTGGTATTAGCTCTGTTAAATATAGTCTGGTTAATATATTGCTTATTAAACTGCATGTAGGATAAGAGCTACTGTATTTGTAAAATGATATCAAATTAATGATTATTATTATACAGTAAAATATCAATTTCAATACTTTCCATGCCATTAAATTGTATCAATTAACCGACCATTTTTTGCTAGATATTATGATTTTTGTTGTCTATGGTTGAGTAAATATGCTGTTGATTATAGGATACATACAGTAAATGGCAATAGTAGCTTAGTTCTAATTGCTAAGTAATATGCAGTACAATTCTCCAGCTGTTTAACAATTGTACAAGCTTCGCATTCGTCGTCTCGCTCAATATTATTTACAATCACGTTTTGATATTAACATTTAGTTGTCAGTGCATACCGTATAAATTGTATACTATATTTAAAACGAAAAAACAGCAGTTTATGTAAACTCATCCTCAGTAAAAATTGAAGGGTCTCAGATGATTGATAATCTCTATAATTATGGTTAATGATATATAATTAATTATTGACATTGTCACTGGTGTTCTTTTATGTGCTAGTTAGAGATATAGTAGAAAGATGGTTATATCCATTTATAATACATAGCTATAGCTAGGAACGATTTTTAATGTTTTATTTGAAAATTTTTGATATTTTTGGATATCGTATAATATCAACTGCATAATATGACTTAAATTCTGTAATAACAGACTGTAAGTAAGTTAGCTACCATGATTGCTATGCTTTAATCCTTGTTCCATACTTTAATCTTCCTGCATAATCTTCCTGAAGTGCCTGAAAATTATATCAAACGCCAAGAAGTATTTAGCGATATTTGTGGAGCGTTGAAAAAGCCTGGATAAGAGCGAAAAAGTATACAGTTTATGAATGAAAGGTACATCAGAGAAAAAAATAGCACTAGCTATTTTACTGACAACGTATCGATGTATTTCCACTGACTATTGTGAATTGTATATTTTTTCATTTTACTTTGATGATATATCAAGCTAGCATTATTGGAGTGGGTGACAATTAGGTTGTTAAATAAATATTAGAGAGAGAATTGTCCAGTAACTAGATTTAAGAGACAATTATAAATTGGGCTGAATAATTTATAGTTAATAAAATTTTTCATATCTTTCTGTATAGTTAGTTTTCTCTCTATTTCTATATACGTATTTCTAAATAGTATTTACAAAGTTATAGTTTATATATGATTTGCTAGCATCTATTAACGGGCCATTTCGATTGAAATAGATGAGCTATTTACAATGGGATGTAATTGTATAAATTAGCCGGCAATTACGATTAAAATGGATGGGCTTATTGCAATTAGATTTAGCCATATGAATCGACACGCTATTGCAATTGAAATGGATAGGCTAGCAAGGTATTTCTATTTGTATCAATTTGCCTTTGGCCTAAGTAAAAATATTCCTAATCAAAGCTACAATATTTACTTGAACTATTTAGCACGGATGCAAGCTTAATACAATCTTGAGATTCCAGTTATTACAATCTCGTACATACAGTATCAGTCTTACACTTTTGCATATCATTTAATGATTTCCTACAGTCTGCTAAGCTATTTTGGGGGGCTGCACTACATAGCTGAAGATTTTGAGGCCCTTCTAGTCCTATAGAAGCGGCAAGCATCCATTTTGGTGGAGCGATCAGGCCGACATTGGATCTAGTATACCGTATGTAACAGTCATTGGCGATATATAGTACGGTATAGAGTACGATCAAATCCATCGCGGCAGTAGGGCACATCTGTAGCAGAGTGTATCAGAGGACGTCTATCTGTCTGCTCTCATGGACAGCCGGACAGAAGCTGATAGCCCACACCAAATCATCCACCACTGGACCTGCGCAGTTCATATCCTCATCCAAGCTCAGAAAGTCTGGGCCACAGCATCTGATGCAATCCGCTCCAGCCAGACATTAATTAAAATTAATATTATTATTAGTAGTCAGAGCAAGAGCTATTCTTGAAAGTCTCCTGATCTATTTGAAAGATAGAATCTTGGATATGCTTGCTACCAGATCCATTCGCAATCCGGTGATTCGTTTACAAGCTATCGTTCGCCATTACAGCCGAATCCATGATCGAAATGCTGTAGGCAAACTTGTGCAGCGTCATCGTCCTGGCAGGCTTCTTGGCCGGCCAAATGATCGAATCAATGCAAGGCTTAACCCATGGTCTCCTCGATTGATTCATGCAAGATGGTTATGTGCAGCAAAACCACCTAATGGAGATCCTAAAGACAAGAACGATAACGACATTAAAGTGAAGATTGTAGGGGGTAAAGGTGCTACAACGGCTAATGTCCCTGCTCAAGTGATTGTTCCAGATTACTTTCCTGAAGTGCCATGCTTAACTGTATCACGTAGTCCGGTTTATCCACTATTTGTCAAAGTCATCGAAGTAAGTTGTGAACGAATTATGCCAAGTTAATCCTTCTTTCATAATAGGGAAACATGTTAAGATCATTATTGTTCATTTTAGCACATCTGTAATAGTGTAGAGACATATTTCTATTCAATACAGTACTTGTTGCTATCATGCTACTGCTTTACATCGTTGTTTCAACTCATGATGGATACCGACTTGGAGTTGTACATCACTGCTAATCATTAAGATGTGAACTCTTCCACTTTCTCATTCGTATGCTATAGGTGACTAACAAAGAGTTAATACAATTACTGCTTCGTCGGTTCAAGATTGGACAGCCTTATGCTGGTGTCTTCTTGAAAAAAGATAAGAAAAATACTTCGGACGTCGTCCATTCACTAGATGAAATCTATCCCATTGGTACTTTTGTCAAGGTTGGAGATTATGCAATCACCGGTGATAAGTTAAGAATGTTTGTGCAAGGACATCGGAGGTAAGTGTCAATGCAAAGATAGAATTGATTCCATTTTGACTAAATCGGTAATCATGAGCGACATCAGTGAATCATGATTGTATATACGATACTAGGGTCTCCATGATACGTAGATGATTAGGGTAGAAGTTTTGACTTGTCATTAGGAACCTTATGCGTACATTAGGATTCACCTACGTTCAGTCTTAATGTTGTTCACTCCTTTGCTACGTATACTAGTAATAAAGTCATAATTTGTATTCGTATAGAATACGACTGATTGACCGCTTGGAATTAGATGAAGAAGAAGGCAACACAGAAGAGATCATTGAAGGACAACCGGCTGAGATTATCACAGAAAACGAAACTGGAGAAACGGTTATTATTAAAAGTCAATCAAAGGAAAGCCAAGTAGAGGAAACAATAACGAAACAAGATGAAGAACAGACCGTTGAAAGTGATTCTGGTAAACAGGAGCCACTACTAATGATAACATCTGAAAATTGGGCACATTTACCATATGATAAAGATCCAGAACTCAAGACCACCATTAAGGTTTATTCCTAGTCTACTAGAACGATGTACATGACTCTTTTAATAGTAAGTAAGCAATCTTACGATGCTATTGCAACATTATTTGATAGGCAATATCCCAAGAAATCATGGATACTGTCAGAAAGCTGATTAAATTAAACCCTGTGTATTAGTAAGTTTATACAGTATTGCTGTATCATTTTCGCTGGTATACTAGCTAGGTTGATATATAAAGGTCTAGTGAATATACGTGTATTCCAGCTATGCATGATAAAAGACGAATCGAAGGATCTGGAGTCCTCTTAGTAAATTTAAGGTGTATGTTGCAAAATAGTATATACTAATCTAAGGTGTTGATAACGCAACATACTTTTTGCAGTGAATCGCTGCAGCATTTAATTGAAGCAAATAGAAAGATGGTAGAAGATCCAAACCACTTGGCTGATTTTGGTAATTATAAATTAATTTCTATGTGGACACTCAATTTAATAGCAACTTATACTATACAATTTTGAATATATTCAGCTGCATCGTTAACCACTTCTGAACCCGAAGAGTTGCAAGCAGTATTAGCAGAACAGGACGTAAGTGCATCATGATGGTTTGTTTACCTTACTGTTGATCTAGACATTTATAAGCATAAAAATGACTGACATTCATATAGATTCGTGCTCGACTGCTGTTATCTTTGGAATTATTGAAAAAAGAATGTGCCCTAGCAGAGTTGCAGCACCAAATCGGGAAAGAAGTACATATTTTACCAATCTATACTTACTGTAATTGTGATGTCAATTTGATATTACGGTATTATTGATTCATTAGGTTGAAGAAAAAAATGTTAATATGCAGCGGAAATATTTACTTCAAGAGCAGTTAAAAATTATTAAAAGAGAATTAGGAATTGAGGTAAATTTATTGTACACGACCTTTAGTTGTATTATGATGATTGTATCCCATAAATAATAACTTTCATAACTAATTCTGCTGTAGAAAGATGACAAAGACGCAATAATGGAGAAATATAGAGAGAGATTAAAGGTATGCTAAATTAAAATTTGCTAACATTAAAAATTAAAAAGTTTTACTATTTAATTTCTGAATGCCCTCTGGAATCGTAATAATTAAATCTGTAGGATAAAACTGTTCCAGAAGATGCCCAAAAAGCAATTGATGAAGAGCTAAGCAGACTTTCTGTCTTAGATAGTCATTCGCAAGAATTTGGGTATATTTTGCTTAAAATCATTTTAATCATTATATTCCATGAAACTGAAATATCGCTACCATTAACAATAAATAAAATTCACAGGGTAATAAGAAATTATCTCGATTGGTTGACAATTATGCCGTGGGGACAATATAGCACTGAAAATTTAGAAATTAATAAAGCTAAACAAATTTTGAATGAAGATCATTATGGTCTAGACGATATTAAAGATCGAATTCTCGTCAGTATTTTAATTATAAGATGGTGTTCACTGGAATACCGATGCACCAAATGTGCTGCGTAAACATCCTAGCATCGATATTGACCAGCTGTTCTACACGTTAATGATATTGCAGGAATTTATAGCTGTAGGACAGCTGAAAAAATCGGTTCATGGCAAAATTATTTGTTTCGTAGGCCCTCCAGGTGTCGGTAAAACGAGTATCGGAAAATCAATTGCTCGAGCCTTGAATAGAGAAGTAATCATTTCATCTATACTAGTATTTTATGGCTATTGCACTGCTTCAGGGTAACGCTTTTGCGTCCTAATAGGTGTTTAATTATCTATTTTTACAGTTTTTTCGTTTTAGTGTTGGTGGAATGACTAATGTTGCAGAAATAAAGGGTCACAGGTAATGAAAATTTTATTTAATTTACTGAAATGTTCGAAAATGAATAAGCTGTATCAAAGTAAGATTCCTTTTAACGCATAATTTCTAATAATGTCCTTCGTAGGAGGACCTATGTTGGAGCAATGCCAGGCAAAGTGATTCAATGTTTTAAAAAGACCAATACTTCGAATCCAGTCATTTTAATAGACGAAGTTGATAAAATTAGTACGAGCTACCGAGGAGATCCCTCATCAGCATTATTAGAAGTATTAGATCCCGAACAAAATGTCAGTTTCCTCGATCACTATTTGGATGTTCCTGTTGATTTATCTAATGTAAGTCTTGCCAAAATTTGAAATTTTTCTCAAGTATATGTTCTCAAATTTTTTGCATAATGTAAACATTAATACTTTTTCAGGTGCTATTTATTTGTACGGCAAATGTGTTGGAGACTATTCCTGGACCATTGCAAGATCGTATGGAAGTTATTAATGTATCAGGCTATATATCCAATGAAAAAATCGCAATTGCTAAGGTTGTTAAAAGCTCTGTATTTAATATTTTGCTGTCATCAGTGCTTTAACGGAGTTTATTTCTTTGCATATAGCGTCATTTAATTCCAGTTGCCCAAAACTCTTGCGGAATTCAAGATAGGAACGTTTCATTATCAGAAGATGCAGTGCGTGCTTTGGTAGAATCATACTGTAGAGAAAGCGGCGTAAGAAATTTGCAGAAGCACATAGAAAAGGTTAGGCAGTTGTGTACCTAATAGTACTCTATGGCGTATTTTACGTACATTTTACGTTCATTCTGTAAAATTTCTTTTATCAAGACATAGTCTTATATATACTGTAATTTTAAACTCAGATATTTCGTAAAGCGGCGCTTAAAATTGTCCAAGGAACTGACGAAATAACAGTAGACAATAACAATTTAGAAGATTTCGTTGGACAGCCTGTGTTTAAAAGCGACAAAATTTATGAATCAACTCCACCTGGCGTTGTTATGGGATTAGCCTGGACGGCCTTAGGTAAAATTGTAGTAGTATGATAAATCGTCCTTATCTCGATTAAGCAGTATTTGCTTCGAAATTCCTAGGAGGATCAACGCTGTACATAGAAACAGTATCCAACACTGTATATGAGAATGATAGCAAAAGCCAATCGGGAATAGAGTTAACTGGCCAATTAGGCGATGTTATGAAGGAGAGTTCAAGGATAGCATATACTTATGCTAAGGTATTTTGAATGCATAGCTACTCTATGTTATAAAGTCTTGACAGCGAATTAATCTTGCAAACGTTTACTTATTTTATAGCATTTTGTAAGTAAGATTGATGAAGACAATAGATTGTTTTCTCGTGCTGGCATTCATCTGCATGTGCCGGAGGTATTGAAATTAACATCATCTTAACAATATATTTGTCTAAGATATCTCCTGTTATCGATTCATTACCAATATCATTATTAGAACCCACTTATAAAAGTTTCTTAAAATAATAATTTTGTAACGAAGGGAGCAACTCCAAAAGATGGTCCATCGGCTGGTTGCACAATTACAACTGCGTTAATTTCTTTAGCTATCGATAAACCGGTTAGACAAAATTTTGCAATGACTGGAGAAATATCGCTAACGGGCAAGGTAGCTAGAATGAAAGAACACTGTCATTTTTATGGTTACAATTGTTTAGGATGAAATATTATTAACTTCTCTGTTTGTGTTTGGGTAATGTGATCACTTTTATTACTTTAGGTTTTGCCTGTTGGTGGAATTAAAGAGAAGCTCATTGCGGTACGTTTTAAACATATCTAGCTTCAAGAAAATCTTTACAAGAAATCTTTTAATAAACGAAATGTGATTTGCTTATGAATTAGAATTAGAATTCGATGTAATGGATACTTTCTTTACTAATTTCAGGCTCGCCGAGCTGGTGTTGATTGTATTGTCCTTCCGGCTGGAAACAACAAGGAGTTCAAAGAATTGCATAGTAGCGTCACCGAAGGATTAGATATTCACTTCGCAGAAACTTATAATGACGTATATAATGTCGCTTTTGAAAGTACATGCAATTAAATTATCTTAGTTTATCTAACACGACGAAATGGAATTCTATACCATACAGAATCATTGGTAATGTTAGGTTAATAAGTAACTTCCTGAAGAGTACAATTATCGAATAGGTGATAATCAGTTTTTTGTTCGTTTAAAAATTTTTCTTGATGAAATGCAGGAGATTTGTAGCGTGCTAACATCAAAATGTGAATGTTGGCAATTCATGATATATCATTATTGCTTGGTGTAGTACATTATAGCATTATAGCAGTTACAGCAACTGGATGCATGGCTTGGTTTCACGGAGTTAATTAACTATCAAAGATTTAAACGTTTTACTCTAAGACTTAATAAGGGGATCCATAAATGCAGGAAGTGCTTCCCATTTCATTGAAAGTGCCATCGCTAGAGTAAAAAATCTGAATTTGTCGTGTTAGCTGTATTTGATCGAAATAATTTATAATCATCAACTGTTTTTATGTTTTGTTTTTACATTTAAACCAATAATAAATGGACCAGTCTGGGAAATATCTGGTATGTTTAGATACAGTCACTGCTTTATTTCTGCTAAGTTATCACCTGAATCATATCTTTTAGAATTTCTGACCAGATTTATTATGTTAAGATAAACGAATGCCTAGAGGATGTGTTGTTCTTACGGTTAAACTCGGTGATACAAAATGAATACTCTTGCCATTTTATATTGCAATATTTTCATGATCTATTAATAAATTGCAAAATTTAGTTCCTCAATCGATCCATTGTTGGTAAGCTTTATAAAATGGTGTCTCGTTTGTATTTACTTTGACAGTTATCAAACTAGCTTGATATGTCTATCTTTTTGTAGTCTCTCAGTTATCAATACGCAGTTAAATCTCTTATAATTATTAGTTTAGAACTTGCTATCTCAAACATCATTAACTAAGTACTATTAGTTACATGAGCTCTCTGTCTTTCCTTTTTGTACTGGGACCTAATGAATGTTATAGTGATAGAGGTGTAGTTTTTAAAAAGAAATTATGAGATTTACTACGATCAATCTCCCTTCGCTCTCTCTCCGGCAGCCCTGCATCTCAAATTATATTATTAGGGATAGTGGATTTTATAATCGGAAGTCTTTAATGTATACCTGCCTTCAGAATGAAATATATCATCCTGCAATATTTAATAAATGATTCATGAAATAGATTTTTGACCCTATTTGTTATGCATTGAACCTATTTAACTGTCATAACATTCAATTTGTTCTTGCAGCGAGTACGTTCGAAAATATCAGGACGAAATAATGCAAATTTTTCCTTAAATGGATTTTATACGTATATTAAAGATGCCGGTAGAGATTTATAAAATATAGCGAGATTGACTTTATAGATTTTATCCACATGCAATAATGATAATCTTTTACTGATTCATATTTGATACTATAACATTCGTGGAGCGGTAAACAGTAAATGATTTTACAAGTTATTTTTATTTAAAATACACGGTAGTAAGCGTCACCTATTTCTCTTGATAGGCTAACTTGATGCGTTGATGAAAATGCCGAGATGAAGTGCTGCATTTGAGCTAAACTTGGGATACTAAGTAACTACAATTGCATTTTTATATTGCAATATTTTCATGACCTATTTAATAAGTTGCAAATTTAGTTCCTTAATCGGTCCATTGTTGATAAATTTTATTGAAAGGTCCTCATTTGTATTTACTTCGTCTAGAGAAGTTGATATCATTTTACCTTAACTACGTAGCGGTTCCAGTCATCGAGCAATGTCTGACTAATAACGTGATTGCAATTATCGAAATATATAATATGATTGTTACTATAAGACAGAGAATCGTCATTTTTATATATCGTTTTGGTGTCAGTCAGGCAGTAGATCATAATGATTTTTAAGTGATGACTTTTATCACTTCAGAAAATGAAAAATTTTTTAGTAGCTTAAGATTTATATTATACATTCAATTATTTATTTCTAGCGATATTACTTGTATCATCTTATAAATTGCAATAGCAACTATCATAATTGACATAATTATTAAGGGAATGTATTAACTAAACGATATTTATTTGAATAGGCGGGAAGAGTAGAATTATTGTCCTTATTTTTAAACCGAAGATGAGAATTAGGATAATATCTTCACTTGTCACGAACTACGCTCCTAATAAAGGACAAAGTAAAGTATTCTGCTCTTCTAAGTTGGTACTATCAACTACTATTTTCAGTTTCGACCTAGAATTACCCTTCTAGACTGCAGTCGCACAGACAAACATTTACAACGTCGAGCTGCTTTTACTTTATCTCGACTAATGCGACCAACGCTATTTACTCATGAAAACTACAAAATCAGTTACTAACGAGCAACATTCGCAATTACAAATCAATTACGAAAGTTTCGAAATTTATTAAACGAAAGTTAATCTACAATTGCATGTACGTTAGTGGAATAGTGATGAATACTTTCGCATTAAGATACTCAATCTAAGAAGATTAACTAGACTATTGGATACAATATCATTCTCTAGATCTAAGCTTAAACATAGCTAATAGGATGGATAAGTTTTAGTGCGGTACGCTACTATTAAAGCTAACTTCCACATTCGAAATTCTGTAGTCTCTGCAAGCATAATTACACAAACGTGCATTAATCCAGCTAATCAACTGTAATATTAATAATACCATTATCATACAACATTGCGTTTACTTTCGATCATAATCAGATTGGTTTATTCTGTAAGATGAATTTATTTGAATTCTTAAAATAAGTCTGATTAGTTTAAATAATTCGCATAATTAAATATTACTCCATTACCAAGGTAATTGCGATTGTACAGATAATCCAATCGGTATAAGTATCTACCTAAAACTTAAATTTTGTCTTATTATAAGCGCTCTCAGTTCATATTTTACAATCTTAATTATGATATAGAAGCTAGCATTGAATTCACTTTATTAAGTGATAGACATCGTCCAATATTGACAATAAAAAAGTCAGCTTCGTTTTCTTATAAGATCCATATTAATCTACTTAAGTTAGTCTGGTGGGCTATTGCAGGATGCATGATAGCCGCCGTTATTATTTTACCACATAATAGGCTACCAGGTTTTTAATGACAATTTTATTGGCCCAAGCCCATTACCATCAAATTTGATTTGAAGGTTGCTCTTGACTATTTAGATAAGTTCAGTGATGGCTTTGCATTTAGGGAAAATTTTATACCAATATCATTCATTATTCCTCAATTAAGTTAGTAGTAAATGCCATCAATCGACAGTTTCGTAGTATAGCAATGACCACTTTCTTAATATTCCTATCTCTACAATTGGAATGCTGAAGTAGCCTTCCGTTGATAGCCAGTATTTACTTTTTCTATCTTCTATCATCGTTGAATATCAAATGATCAATTCATTTATTTCCCTCAATTCTTTTGATTATACTATATTGGCGTTCATCATCTTGGCATATAAATAAAGATTGTTGCCGATTACCCTTGATTCTTTTACATTTGATGTGTGGCGATTGTAAAACATGCATGAGTTGAAGAGTTGTTTTATCGTAAAAGTAAATATGATCATTACGTTTTTCTACTAAATATTTATCAGTCCACAAATTATCTACATCAGCAATCTCGATATCCAGTTGTCTTCTTCTAGCATCCTTGTAGCTTTTTACTAATAATTCATCGTCCAAGTAAAACATCTAAGATAATTATTATGACATAGTCATTAATATTAAATATCGAAGGATTCTTTCATTGATAGATCGCAATAAACTGCAATCTAAACTTATTCTTACCGACATTACGTTTCCCTTTTCGATAACGAAACATTCATTAGCTCTAGCCGATTGTGTAACTTTAATTTCTCGCTTAAATGGCCTTTCCAATCTGCCGAGTTGTTCAAAATATAGAGAATATAAGGCACGTTTTAAGGTCATAAATACATAAGATTTAATGGTAGAGATCAATTTATCCGTTTATATTACGTAGTAAACTTACGACATGGAATCGTATCTTGCACCTGCCATAATTTGCCTTAAACGATTCCATGGTAGTAGTCCTATCTCAAGATCGTCTGCTCTTTTGCTTATAGGAACAACAATTTTACAGGCTAATTGATCTTGAATATGATAGCTGTAGGTTTTAAAGTGCTTAATATTTATGCCATCGCCCAATTTATACCACTATTGCAAAAAGGATATTATAATTCATTTTTTGAGTATGCAATAATAAAATACGTGCTGTAATTACCTCGATAGCTAGTTCTTGACTGTTTCTAATCTTCTGATAGGTCACCAGATTGTAATTATTGCAAAATACGATCTTCATATCTTCATATAGGGGATAATCATCATCAAAATAAATCATAGAATCTCCGCTGACATGATTGACCATCATAACAATCCATGGCCGACTTTCATCTTCGTACTATACGCAATAAAAGAAAAGAAAACTTATTTTTAGTGAGAAACATAATCCTAACGACATACGGAATTGATTTAGATCACAACTATCGATATTTAACTGTCTAAAGAAGCTTATTAAAAATTTTGAGCCCATTCTACAGTAAGTTAGCATTACAATATTTATTAATAGCAACTCTGTTATTCATCTTTACGTTAATCCAGTGCTATGCTTGGTAAATGTTTTACCTCTGCATAAAAGACAAAAATTAAAGTATTATCGGATATTCTATGTTTCGATTCCTTCAGAATGAGACGTTCTGGATCGTCTCTTAACGTATGATTAATTTGCTGTTTCTGCTGCAAGTTGCCTCTTGAGTGATATAACTATTGAGAAGACAGATGCTTATAGTTAACGATTTGGTGCTCTTTAGCATGTTTGTAAGCTAGTAAACCTTTAATACAAGGTGCAAATATGGGAGAATTTCAAGAAGAAAATTATTCAAATGCTAAGGTTAGCTAAAAATATGCGTTAGCCTCCATTTCTGGCTATAGAGGGCACTACATAATTGCGAATCAGTTACTCAGTAATCTTACCTGGGTAATAATAATATGCCAATGATGAGATTCTAAGTGACCATTAACGCATTGCTTCTTGTGACATGTATGCATCGTCACCAGGATAAGAAAATCGCAATCATCATATAGGAAACATCGCTGATAGGGCTGAGCTAATTTATAATCTGCAATTTGCTCTAATCCTTCACCCTGGTAAACCTAGAGTTCATTACAGTAGTCGTTAGTCTTATTGGCCAAAATCGATATCAATGATTTAGCTTTATCATTCCATTTGCTATTATAGTTTAAAATATAAAATTCTAAATTTTTTACCTTTAATCTGCAGCTGCCATCCTGCTTATTAACCACCAATTTAGCTATAATGGGAATATCATGGACAAATGCATGGCTTGAATCGATAATAACAGAATTACATTTATCAATGGAGGTTTGACGATCACTTAATATCGCTTCTTCTGCAGATTGCCAATCCAAATTGGTAGCTATTTAAAATTATAAGGGCATCACTATCTTCTATTTTAATATTTAAACAGGGCGACATAGTTACATAGTATGATTTCCATATTTGTTGCTAACCTTCTAGATTATAGCGATATAAGCAATACATTGGATATTGGTTATAAACTAAGAGGTCATGGCTGCCTGGAATGAATATCAAATGAAGATTACCATCGACTAAATCGGTTTTTGCGTCTTGGACGCAATGAATAGTTGAATAAGAGTTAATAGCATTCTTTTCCATCTTGAAGATCTGCAAAATCAAAGTAATAGACATCAAATTATGTACAAAAATGAACCTTGATATTATAGAATGCTATAGTATTTACTATACCATGATATTTGGTTCTAGATGCATTCGAACAGCAATTAGTAGATGATCATCAGATATGACAATATCTGCAATGTATTTCTCGCTTTGATAGATAACTTTAAGAGAATTGGTTAGATCTCGATTGGAATTACTAATTCTTTTATCCTCATTTCCATTTGAGAAGAGCTGTAATAGAGTATCGCCGTAGGATGCTATAATGGATGTACATTCAAGATCGATATATTTTACTGTTGCTAATTCTAAACAGCTAAGAGTACTTTTGCCAGCAGTAAATTGCCCATGATCATATTGGATAAATCCTGGAACTTCAAATGATTGATAATGATTCCAATCTTGGATATCCCAAACCTAACAATATACAACTGATGTTACTCTTACTATGATTAGTTAAACGGAAGTCCTAATTATTTACTTACCTCGATCTGACATTCATTGATCCAGCTGTTATCATCTTGTAAGCGAAGCCGATAGCTATTATATTTTCGCCACCAAATCAATATCTTACTGCTATTCTGAACAAATTCGCATCGTTCAATTTGGTGAAGATAGGAAATAGATTTGCCAGTATGCTTCATTTCTCTTCCTTGGATTTTCCATATCTGCCAACAATTATTTTATTAAGTTATCAAAATGGTGATAAGTAGTATTTAATATCGCATATCTGTTACAGAACTTTACAGGTTTAAATTAAATTTAGAGGTTATGGCAAACTTATTTGCCTCACTTCTCTTATTACTTTAATTTTAGAAATAACTTACAGCGATATCTTTACGGTCTCTTGACACGGTCATTGCTACAGGATAACCAGGTATAATTGGGCAGAATTCTAATTTTTTCCAATCTAAGACAGGTATTTTGGAACCATCTTGCTTAATAGCTTGTAGACGTTGTCTAGTACCAATATTATGAATTTCCCATTCCTCTCGCTAAAGATACATTAATAGAGTATTAGATAATACGATATGAAATAAAATAACACATAATGAGAATAGTATCCCTGATATTATTAGGGCAGTCCTGCTTTATAGTTTTAGGTTTTTGTTCGATTTTACATAATTTTGCGGGCTTTAAATATTATAGATTGTACATTTCTTTAGCTCATTAAATATAGCTCGATTGTTTTCTATATTTTACACTTTTAATCTATTCCTCATCTATTTCTGTTTCCTAGACAATATAAAATACTGCCCATATTTACATTGGCTATGTGTAGTGTATTTAGAATATACTGTAACTATATTCTACTCTTAAATATAGACATGCTGTTTTGATCTTATATTTAGACATATCTACAGTCCGTTCGCTCTACATTCAAATGTGGCTTACTACATTTAGTTATTACAGTCCTCGCTATTTTCTACAGTACAATCATCTGCTATTCTATAACCTGTTATGGTATATGTTGTATCTGATCCTACAATCATGTTCTCTGCATGTGTTCTAATGCCATAGCTATAAATACCGCCGTTTTCTACCTTAGACTTCTTAAGTTGCATTATTAGTCACAGTTAGTATTCACACTTTACTCACGGCAGCTACCACGCTGACCTACTGTAATTATCACATTGTACCTAACTACTGTCTACAATAAAGTATCCTCTTTTCTTAAGCTCCTTGTGCAATTCTCTACATGGCAACTAAAACCACATTATCTGACTCTTCGAACCCTCCATCACACTGTGATACAGAAGTAGTTGTTATGCAGCTACTTCTATCTAGATGAGATTCTAGTTATATTATATAGAATTATAAGCATGGTGTCATAGTATTATTGCAACCCTATTTCTGCTATTGAATTGTAGCAGATGTGTAGTGCAAAGCCGATATATCCTAATCGGTAATCAGCAATCTTCATTTATATTATTTTAAAATGGATTTATCAGGGAATTGTGATTGGCATACAATCTTGAAATTTTGTTCGACATTCTTAAATAATGATACGAAAAATTAGTTTAAATTTACTAATGCTAATTACCAACAATTATCTATAGATATTTAATTAATAATCTCCCATTTTAAAAGAAATAAATAGTTGCTATAAAATGTTACTGTAAGACAATGAAGTAAAATTAAAGGAAACTTACTCGATCTCTGGACATTAAGTAAGCAATAATATTCGCATCAGATGATATTCTGACTTCAAAGACATAGGTTTTAGGAAGGCTGAATTTTACTTTGATTTTGGATGTTTCATAATCGGAAACCTAGTAATACGACATGATACAGTTATAAGATATTTGCTAAATGTAGGAAGGATCTTACAATACTTTTATGTTATCGTGATTAGAGAACTTTAGACCAGCGCTATAACAATCGTGACTGATTTAGAGGCTAAATCTTAACTCAATTTTTATATGCAGTACCGTATAGACTTACAACGATAGTACAATCTTTTCTCCATCTATTATTGTTAGCGTAGATTATTTTTATGTCTCCATTTCGAGGCCTTGAACACTTTGGCAATATCAAGCCACTGTTGGTATCTATAGTTTTGGACTCAATCCAAGGACTATCGTCGGTTTTATTTTGGGGATATCTAAACCATAATATATCATAGCATTAATTCAAATAAAAATCCGCTTTAAACTACCATTACTAGTTGATAACAGTGTTTATAAGATATTTACAACAACTTACTTTGTAATCGTCCAGTATTTACCCATATTCACTTTCTTATTTGCTATTTGTGTAGCTTTACTAACAATCCAACTGTCTTTCTTGGCACAATATAACAAAAATTGGATTAAATTCATTGATTCTTTGTCTAGGTAAAATTCGTGTTGTTGTAATAGATCAAGCAATTCTTCGAATGAATCAGGATTCTATTAAAAAGATTATGGTGTATCAAATTATAATAAAAAGGCAGGATCGAATACAGTTATAGTTGCAATAAATAATTAGCATCAATTTATTTCCATAAACTGACCTTATTCTTCAACTTAAGATAGTTGATATAATCTATTAGATCTAAGCGTAGGTTGCTCAATGATTTAAATTTTTTCAATTTATTCATCATCCAGTTGAAATCGGTCATTAATGTTGCTAAAATGCTATCATCATCGGCTTGAATGGCATGATAGATGATATATTGATAGAAATAGCCATCATCCGGATAGGTAGACCATTTCCCGTCGTACAGCTTAACATAAGAATCGATCAGTGTTTGATGCAGTTTCTTCACGTAAGATTGTTGTGATTGCTGCGAATCGATTGGCTGCTGCAAATAGTCTATGATTTTCTCATGTAATATACAGTAGTTTCTGGCAACAGAAGTAAAATAGGGAAGATCTGAGAAGGATGACAAGAATATACGTTGCTAGAATAGGTTTGTTGCAAGTTGGAAAAGATTAAGTTAATATTATTACAAAGCGTATCGATTTCTATATGTGTTAAAGAAGATGCTGACTAAGGCAAGGTAGCAAATGTAGATATTAGCGATTGGAATAAAACTTTAATTTGTTTGAAATATTGCAGATGGAAATAGAGAAATGTGCAAATAGAATAAATACTGGTACTGCACAATGATGAACCTATCCATAGAATCATGCCGATTGCTAATCTAAACAAATATCTTTCTAGAGCTAATACAGAAGTTAGGATTTTGAATAAACCATTAAATTTCTTTCTATTTACATTAGTACATTTGAAGATATGACGCTATTCTAAGCGTCGAATAAAAATCTGGCTTAAAAGATACAGATATTATATAAATCTTCATACCGTTCGTTGTTTTTATTGCAATGATATTTCAGTAAACATCTGCTATCTAATTCTTCCAATAGGCCTACAGCTTCATTTTGATTGCATTGCCATAAGCACATGATGGAATGGATTGGAATCTTAACTCTTTTAAAGACCCCAAGTTGTCTAAATAAATCCCTTTTCTTAATATCTAATTTATTAATACATATGGTGATGATCTCAAATAAATTAAATCTATATTCCACAAATTTTAGTTTAAAACTACTATCTTGAACTTCAGTCTTGGCCAGTACTTCTTGCCATTCTTGATCTGTTTTGAGACGCAAACCAGCTAGAATGACAACTGCCAGAGGTAAATATCGAATATTTTCTAGGATTTGTTTGACTAATTCATTTTGGCGTAATTTCTTAGTATATCTTTTATTTTGATATAAAGCCAATACTTGTATAGCTTCTTGATAGGTAAATTGCTCCTAGTTGTAGAGAGATATTGTCAGAAACTATACCAGTAGTAGCTAAAAAATATTTTGTATCGCCAGTTTACTATGGTCAGAAGATAACTTTTTATCTTGTACTATGACAATTTGGTTGTAAAATAAACTTCTTTAATAGATATGACAATCTTATAGTATTTATATCTCTCTCATCTTATGTTAATTATGTAAAGTATAATCAATTTGATCCGAATAAGCAGATTTCATAATATATTGACAGATTTCGGAACTTTTCATAGTCCTACTTTAGACCTGATAAGCCATGATACTTTAAATAGATATAGTACATTTATAAATTTGTAGTTTATAAGGTCAAGTTAAATGCCATTAATGTAATGTATTTTTGTAATTGAAGTGTTGATTAATTAATGATTCTATTTCAATTTCAAGTTATATTAGCAAGTCGATTACTATAATTACCGGAGCTTTAATATGATCGTAATTTTCTCGGGTTTGGGGATAAAGTAATGGAGTAATAACAATGGATTTATTTGCAAATGCTAAATAATCGAAGAATATTCCGTTTCGGACATCGTCAAAGACAAAGATAATTTCCGATTGGCTTTTATGGCCTAGAACATAACGTCCATTTAAAGTATATTCAATTTCAGTCAATACAGTAATTAGTCAGTACTCTAGATTGAAAGTGCTAATCGATTGTTGTACGCTAATATCAAGAATTTACTTCGAAAAATATGCCCACCAAAAATAATTTCTTACCTCGAAAATAGCGTCTTAAATAAGCATCCATTTCTTTTAAGCTTTGTGGCTGGCGATCCCACTGAATATCCAGTTGATGACATAGATTTATCAATATGTAGAGTAATTCATCTTCCTGAATATCGCCTACATCATTATGGAAGAAATAAATGACCACTATGCATTAGCTTTCCGACTACATGAAAAGTTAGACGAATGTAAACATTTTATATCCAACTACTTATGGGAAACTCGTTATAAAATACTCATAGTTAGATCTTGATCTATCTAGGATTTATAAATTACTTTTTATTGTAAATTCTTAAAGTATGTACCTATTTTTACCCAATAGACACCATGTGGCTTAAAGCAATCTTGCTCTTCGATCATTAATTTGACTGATTGAGCTACGCTTGTTGTCTTTCCGCAGCCAGATATTCCATAAATCAAGACATGACCGTTACTGGAGTTAAGATCTTCAAGATAACTACAAATAGTGTCAATAAAGTCTTCACGTATGATATAGCGATTTTCGGGCAATTGCGGGACATTGTGTAGTAAATCTATAATGGAAAATTAGTATATTACTTCTCGTACATGAGCTTCTCCATCTATCTGACTATTTTAATAGTGCTATACTGTTTACAGAAAAAATGAAAAAGCCATAATCTAGTTTTATTAACGTGAAAAGATAAAATTAATATTGTGTAGATATTGAATATGAACTACTAGAGCTATCTACCTCTTCTACAAAGAATAATGTAGCAAAACTACTGCTAATTATAGTTTAATGTATGAAACTGGTGTTTAGATTCTTGACTTATATATTTCTAGCAGAATAACCACATCGATATATTGTTGAGCTATTCGCACATTTATCGTACAAATAGTTATTCATGAGATTAATTTAATGACATAATTTGCTATTATTTCATAGCATTCTGATCGTAGTATTTAATAGCTACGTTTATAAATTAGGAAGCGGCTTCTAAAGTTGTTAATTCTACTTAAGAATAATGCTCGTATGAGAATCTCTTGGTAAGCCTATAGGTACCTTGTGTTGAATATTCTGCTTGAGGGGCTCGACCTAATGAAAGAAAAATAAAGTAAAAGGATAACTTATATGCACATTACCAAATTAGAATAATTTGATGGCATCATTACTCTAAAAGACAAGTGGAAATGACTATATCGTGCTTATTAATAAGCGCTATTCTATTTCTATAACTTCAAGGCAGAAGCACAATATCTTAGAGAGTACTATATTACTTTGATGTTGCAAATGACGAAAGCAAATAAAGTAAAAGGATAATTTATAAGACATCACCGACTTAAATTAATTGTATGATATCAATACTCTATAGGATAATCGGGGTAGACTATATTATGCTTATTAAGCGCTATTCTATTTCTATAGCTTCAAGACAGAAACATAATATCTTAGTAAGTACTTTATTGCTCCAATGTTGCAGATGATGAAGGCAAATAAAGTAAAAAAATCATTTATATTTATAGGATTAGAATAATGTCATGACATTAACAGCCTACGGAATAAGTGAGGAATAATTGTATCGCGAATAGTAAGCGCTGTTCGATTTCCATGATTTCAAGGCAGAAACTTGCTATCTTAGCAATCATTTCATGACTTGGACATGGTAGATGATTGCATATCATTCTTAAGTGAGCACTTTTCCACTGTTTCCACGATCAAACTTAAAAAGGAAGCACAGCCTTTTGTAGCTAATTTACTGCTCAGACAGTAAAGATGATTCTACTGTATTAGTTCAGCTCTATCTACAGTCTAGAATAAAGTTAACGACAGAAACAGGATATCTGTGCAACTAACTTATTGCTTGGATTATTTCCATAACTAAATTAAAAAAATAGTAACGTTCCCAATTTGGTGACTAGTCCATAGGCTAGATTGTGTAGATGACTACATTGTGCTTAAGTCAGGGCTATTCTGCAATCCAAATTAAATAAAAACAGCAATACCATAATCTAATAACTAATTTTGTGGTTGGATAGGATCGGAAATGACTAATGGATGCCAAAGTTACATAGCGTAAAGAAAGTTCATTAATAAGCAACTTACCACATTGGATATCGTAAATTGATTTAGCTTCTTCACGCAAGGCTTTGCCTAAGTTGCGCACTGTAGCAGCTTGATGTTGCTGTAATATTTGACAGAATTGGTAGAAATCTTCATCATCTCTAGTTTTCATTGCTTTAATAAAGGTGTCTATTCGATCTTTCCTTCGAATATAATATTTCAAATCATTCACTTGATCGTCGGTTAAAATCTGCTTGGACTTTAGATCGGAGAATAATTCGTTCATCGGTACTCTTGCTAAAAGTTTATAATAATTATTTTCAATGACTTTTTCAAGGTATGGACTTAAGCCCATGTTGGCTTCTCTTTTAACAGGGTTGGGCTAGTGAGGCTACAGTAGTTAAAGATTCATTTGTAATTATTGGAAGACCTTATCAAGGTCCAAATTTCTGATATTGAATTCGAGGATGAAAAATCTTTATGATCATCTAGCGATAATCCATTCAATTCATTAGATCCAATACTAAAGCGAATAAAAGTAGAGATGGTGTACTAATTTTGTGCTCTATGTGGCTTCTAGTTTGAAGGGAATTGCTTAAAATCTTTCGACATGGCAACGAATGAATTCGACGTATACCATATGATAGAAATATCTTACTCTTCTGCCCAGCAAGAAAATGAAAATCGTGTAACTTTATTTCAACTTAGTTAATGTTCATATATAGTGCTTGCTTAAGTATTTCTTGGTATAGCGGCTGATTAATGAAATACTGTATAAAGGAATAATTTAGTTAGGCTACATATTAAATAGTCATTAAACCGATGGAAATAATTAGCATTACCAATTTTAAATAGAACTAAATCAGTTAAGAACGGACTAGACTTCTAGTACTGGATTGCCATTCAGTAGGATATCAATAATAACATTCCAACCTTTTATAATTTAATTCTTTGCCAGGATAGATAGTATTGAATTGTTTTAAAAGAAGACCACCAACACTGATGAAAATGTAACGCTGCTGGAAATCCATTATAGCTATATTTTGCTATATGGGTACGGATAATGGAATCATGACAATGGTTTCCTGTACGCAAAAGGATAACGCCTATTTCATTTGAATTCATGGTTATAATTAAATAATCTATATTCTCGACTATTAATAAGCTGATGAATATAAACTAGACCATGGAATATTGGAGGAGATTTAAACCAGCAATGCATCTATTGAATATTCATGATTTGCCTTGTTATATTCTTATTGATAAATTGTAGCTAACATAACTGGGTAGAGTTGAAAGTTTTTAACCAAGTTTTGGAAACCTAATGTTAATAAATCATCTTTTACGCGATATTAGGAAGATGATTAGGTTAAAGAACGTTATAGTTGTCCTTTGATCTAATGATATTCTTCCATGTTAATTAGGAAGTCTTCTTTTTATAGAATAATACTTCATATTGCAGATAATTAATATTGCTTAGTCCTTGCATTCAATCTTAGCTATTATGCTATAGGCTCTCTTTATTCATTTTAATGAATAAGAAATAGCTGCTTAGCAATACTAATTAATGGCAAAATAGTAATTAGAAAAGCAGACGCATACGTGTAAAGTGTTATGTTTTAACTCTACAGCCGAAAGGTAATATAGTGGTAACCTGCAATTAAAGTCCTTTGGGCATCGCATAGTGTGTAAGATTTATTTTTCTCAAATACCTGAACATTTATCTTTCAATCTCAGTTAAGCTAACTGATCCTTGTTTCTGCTCTAGTGTTCAATTCGGAATTTATATTGCAGATAAATGAATCGTATAAATAGTCTATCAACTAAATTACTGATGATTGATCATTTATAGAGGTTGTAATTTCCTGTCTCTCATTTCTCTTAGTTATTCATTCTTAAAAAAGTATTCTGTAGAATGTGAAAACCCTTCATAAACATCGAACACTTAGAATTATTATCCTGCAATAAGAATTCTTGAGTCCATCTACCACATAGCACATAGATGGCGTTACATATTCTCGTGTTTTTAACAACGACGAAAGGGCGCTGCCATGGGTTCCCAATTTTATTTCTTCCTGTAATAGATGACATTCTAGCTAAGAGAATCTTAATGGATTTATTTTATTACGATCTAATTCATAATTTAAAAAACCAGAGGTTAATAATTTGGATAGAATAATAAATAATAATAATAATAATAATAATAAATATAATAAGCTCACACCGTTATTAGAAAAAATGCATAAATACGAACATATTATGATACCATACGAGAGATCTCGTACATGCCTAACTGTAGCCAATTTTTAATGACTGGGTTGCCGTTGTTATTATTAATATAGTCATGATTATAGCTGTAACTGTGGATTCAGGACTTAGATTATACGTGTATGTGTATTTTTAGTTGTATACAATCATTATTTGCTTACCAAAAAGCTGCTGAATTGAGTGCATTTATGACAGCATTGACAATGGTCGTCTAATGAACTAACCTAATATGCAAGTGTAAGGCGGTTGCTTGTGATCATCAACGACATAGCAAATGTTCTCGATATACATTATCTTGGTCTATTTCAGATGTTACACATTGAAAAGCGGCTTTTGAATATATTTTTATAGCTTAAAATAACAGTTTTACATTGTAGTAGAACCTTGAAGAACCTACAAGAAATGCATACGTAGGGATTAAAAAATTGATAAGTTTTCAAACATGATTGCGAATGATCTCTTGGATGACAAGACCTTATGATTAGCTATCTTATTGCATATGGAATGGAATAGACATATCTTCCATGCAATATAAAATTATTTAAGTTAGTCTATGGTATTGTTTTACTCATATGAAGTAGGACTAAGCTCATGCTGTACAGTATACTTGAATATGAAGGAAAATAAGGCAATCCAGATTGAGCACAAGTTAGAACGCTATTAACAGGTTACAGTTTTGGTGTCAGTTTAAAGCATAACTTGAAAGCTTCCTGTGGTATATCATAATGCCAGTTGTCATGGGTAATCGTCAGTGCTCCAACTCGACCTATTTCATCAGAAGATTTTGCAGCACATCCATTGCCACCACTTAATAACACCATATTTTCAGTTATTTTATCAATCATGACATGGCTATGTGGTGTAATTGTATAAGCACAACCATCAGGTTTTATGGATACTGGCTTAAATCCGGGTAGAACACTGAGCATTGCTTTAGTTAATATATCTGTAGTTTTAGGATCACCGTGGCCATGAAACCACTTAAGTACGTCCTTATGAGTAGGCATTATTTTAATTAAATCACCGCCATGACCGATTTTTAGATAATATTGACCGTCTGGATAAAGAACTGGAGGCAATGAATACCAGAATTCCATCGGATCTTCTGGGTATAGATACACCATACATGGCATGTTGCTATAACGTTGTCTGTCAGCAGCATTGACTTGTAATTTAACTACAGTTTGTGTGCCACATTGAATGTCTAACCGTTGGCGAATGTCATCCGGTATAATTTCTTTAAATAAGGTAAAGGCTCCCGTTGCTACTACGATTTTACGACTGGTGATAACTTTATTGGTTTCGGTGATGATTGTATAATCGCCGTTGTTATTTCTACTGACCTTATTGACAATCTCTCGAACGAGAGTACAGCCATTATCAGTAGCTGCTTTGATTTCCGCTTCTACTTGGCCACGAGGAGAGATATAACCAGCATCAGTGGACTCATATAATCCAATAAAGTCATGAGGAACTTGTAAGTAAGGAAATCGTCGTTTTAACTCAGTATAACTTAATTGTTCGTAGTTAAACCCAATCATTTCTGCTACTTTGTTGATTTGAGCAATTTTAGGATCATCTTTGGATCCAAGGACAAGAAATCCACGTTCATGATAGTATTGGACACCAGTAGCTTTCTCCAATTGTCGATAACGTGGTATCGATCGATTAGCTAATTGGCACCATACCGGATCTGCATCGAGATGTCTAGTAATTCTACCTTGATCATAATATGCAGCGAAAACACTTCGACCACTCTGATGGCGTGGTACTGTTGGCTCATCAGGGCCGACAAGGCATATTTTACCCTTGTAAATTTGGGTTAAATGGCGTGCACAAGCAGATCCCATGGATCCAGCACCAATGACAGTGATATCGTAGTGACCAAGTGTGTTGTGACGATCTCCCATTTTGATTAAGTGAGTCCAGGGTTTAATTTTAAATTAATGCTTGCTGTCAGACACTGTCAATAGATGGTAAAAAGGAGGCTAGTAATCACCGTTCCTACCACGTTTGTAGCAACAATTGAAGGAGAAATAGCTAAACAAGCTAAGCGCTACTAGGACAACAGTCTAGTGCAGCTGAGTAAGAAATGCTTGCTGTACTTCTACAATGTTCGCTGTGTTGTTCAGGTTGTTGTCTGATAGGCAATTGTCCCAACGTTAGTTGTAACCGCTTGAAGAAGTTTCTCACCAAGCCCAACGCCACTTCGACAACAGTTTACTGTTACTGAATACTGTAATACTTGGCGTAGCTCTATAATGTTAGCTTTGTCTTGTTGTCGATACCGTCTGCAGTCACTGTCGCTTTGCTACTTATAGCAATCACTTGAAGAAGAAGTAGAAGCAATATTTCAGCAAGCCTAAAAAGATGCTACCAACTGTGGCGGCAATAAAGGCTAAAATGATATCATCTGTACGGTATTATATTATGCCATTGACGAGTGCTTACCGCATAAGTATCATAAGCTAATTGCAAATATTAAAAGACAATACTGCACTCGATGCTTTCATGAAAGCACTATGCAAACCATGAAAGGTAAGGAATTAAATGTAAAATAGTGATTCAATACGTAGCTCCAATGAATAAATTAATTACTATTTAGGAATAAACCAGCTGAAAGATGTCATTTGATAATGAATTACTTTGCTCTATTTGGACTACGATAGTAGGTCAGACGGACCCCTATTAGCCTTGCAGTGTAGAAGTAGTGGACAGGATCAGCTACAATTGCAGCTAGATTATTATGATTTAATTGGGTTTAGCTCTTATTTTACTACCTAAAGCTGCTCTTAAACTGTAGATTAATCATCGATCAATTAGAATGACATCATTTTCTCCGATATCTATGTATTCGAGTTGTTATGGCTTAAAAAGTACCCGGATCTCTATCAACTTTCCAATACAGAAATTGTGGTTAAGGCTCCTATAATTATAATTGATTGATCAGGTTTAATTCATATTTTACTGTCTAGAACTGCTCTTAAACTGTGGATTAATTATCGATCAATTATGACGATATTTGGAAATTTGTGTGTTAAAGTCGTTATAGTCTAAAAAAACTACCCGGACCCTTACCAGCCTTCC